ACGTTTAGGATTATCATACGTAATCATATAAAAATTTTTTCTAATTTAAAAGAACTTATTATGCAAAAATATAAATATTACGTGTAAATACTTATCTTATCTATATCTAACTTATTTGGTGATAATCCCATTAAAACTTTCGCGCCATTTTACGCCAAGTTTTTGCGTCCAACATACGTCACAGACGTCGCTGTTTATGTCTGTTTTCGCCACGCATGCGCAAAAAACCCGATCCGATTCACAACACTGGCTCTGCTGGGATGATTATTCTCAGTTTCTTTTCTAATTATACGATTCCATGAAATCGCGATTGTACACTGGTTGACTGGTTGTACACAGGACGCGGCACGCGACAACACAGTAGTCAATCACTGTCTTGTTTTCTAATATGTAATGAAAAATTTATCATACTCTCACATGATATAACAACTACATTTTTAACAAGTAAACTTAACCTAACTTATATTACTATTCTACTCAGGAAGTCCATTATGGCTTGCGATATTCACTGCTAATACTGAAAAGCTATAATATATGTGACCTGAACTATATATTTTCAGTACTGGCAGTGAATATTGGAACGCAATCTATATAATTGTTCTCTTAGGAAACGTGAAAAGTTTTACGTGAATTTAGGCTGGTTGCACACACGACGCGGCAAAGCGGCGATGCGACACACGGTAACGCGGTAGCTAATTACCGTCTTATTTTCTGATATATAACTTCGACTGAATTCCGTAAAGTGCATATACGCGCATTTTGTTATAATATATGATATGAACTATAGATAAATGCATGTATATGCGTGTAAATGTAAAATTTATTCATTTTATAACAAAATATATGATTTAAATATATTATTTAGTTTTTAATTGTAATATGCTATTACTCTCTAGTAAGAATTAACGCAATTTAAAAATTAAATAATTGTTAAAAAATGCCTACTCTATGCTTATTTTATATAAATAATTAAAAGAAATAATAAAATGTTTATATAAATTTTTTTATGTACTCACGTGCTTCTTCTTTTTCTTTTTTTTTCGTATGATTACCACTCAAAACTTTTCAATGTGCTTTCTGGTATCGCGTTACCACTTCTACAGAACATTCTAAAATGAGTCATAAGTGCACTTGCAGTCACAAATATTTGAGCCGATCCGATACGTTAATGGTTGCGTTCAGCAGAGAAAGCAGATCAGTAAGCGTTCAGTAATTCTTTATTATAATTGATTTCTACGCTTGCATTCAACGAAGATCTAAAGGCAACGACCAATCATATTGAAAAATCACTGAGCGCTCAGCCAATGATAACTATTGATACCTCTGATAGATGAGGCCCATCGGATACATTGTCGATTTAGTTGATTAAATGGATCTTTTGATAGTTGATTCACTAGAAAATTCCTAGGCATCTCGGCCGATGTGGTGATGAATGGTGTGTCCGATTGACTACTAGTCACTCAAATGTGTGAATCGGGTGATACTTGGTGACCACGTTCCGATTGACCACTAGTCACTCACAGCGTTTGAACAGTGGAAAAATTTTAGACGCTGTGAGTGGCTAGTGATCAATCGGGACGTGATCAAACGGGTGTCACCCATATGCGTCTAAGACATTTCCTTTTAAATTAGCGGCACACAATACTTTTTTTTGCTAGCCGGGGTTGATCATGTACCTTTTCCTCTAGGGAAACGTAAAAAGTGAAAAATTTCACGTGAACTTACAATCATGTACGATTTCATGTAACTCTCTCAAACGTGAAAATGTGAAATTTTTCACGTAAACTTTTTCGCCATATATCTTCGTGACGGAAAGGCAAAAATCTAGAGAATTAATAAATATGCTTCAGAATTAGAGAAGATTAGCACTACGGATTAAGGCTACAGTCCATTTAGCGCTAGAAAAACTTCTAAGCGTTTGATATAACCAATCAAAATCAATCATAATCAATCAATGAATTCTATGAATGGACCACTCAAAAAATGCTTCGAAATATTTGTAACACCAAGTGAACTGTATCCTAAGTGTACATAGTATATACATATACAATCGATTATTAAAAGATATGATACTGTATCAATAAAATAATTTTCCTTAGCTATAAAACCTATAAAATTATGTTTCATGATTTCACTTTCCACGCATCCCAGTAACATATATAATCGTTATACGTGAAAAGTTTCACATGAAATGTCGATGCGTGAAAAATGAAAAGTGAAAAGTGAAAAATTTTATGTGAAATTACATAAGGGCTTAACCAAGAAAAATTTGTATAGCAGCATAATCATATGCATAAGGAAAATTACCCAATTCACATTTCTATCATAAAGATACATGTAAAATACGATTGGATAATTTTTCTTATATAGATATGCTGCTATACAAGTTTGTTTGGATAGATGTCTATACTAGATTGCTAACTAAAGCCTAGTCTACAATGACATAACATAAGGCTATAAGGCTATAAATTGTAGAACCTACTTAAATGAATTATTTTCACTTCTTATACTTAACAATTTTATGTCACATAACATATAACTGTGCGGAATACTGTGATGTAAAATTGTTAAGAAATGAAAATAATTCATTTAAATAGGTTTTTACAATCACGCCTTAGATCCTTATAATCTTATGTTGGGTGACACCCGTTTGACCACGTCCCAATTGACCATTAGCCACTTACAGTGCTTGAACAGTGGAAAAATTCTAGGCGCCGGTCCCTGTGAGCGGCTAGTGATCAATCGTGACGTATCAAACGAATGTCATCTCCTTATGTATGTCATTGTAGATTAGGCTTTAGATTTTGGACTTGCGTTAGTGTCGGTTCACAATAAGTATTTAATCTTTAAGTCGTAAGAAATTGATCAATCATAGTCGAGTATTCTTTTCATATTCGATTATAATTGGTCAATTTCTTACTTCTTAAAGCTTAAATCATTGTGGACCGATACTTATATGCGGTTCTGATTGTATGCGAGAAAATGGCGGCAATTTTATATACGTGATACTTGTTTGAATTTTAGCATCAATGTGTGTATAACCATTAAATTTCTGTAAAAATGCTAATATCTTGTTGCACCAAAAAGTGTCGTAATAAAAAAAAGATAGTGTTAGTCTATTTAAATAAATTTTACATTTATAATAAATCTATAATAAATATATAAATGTTTCATAAAACATAAATAGTGATTAATGCAATTTTATAGATTACGATGAAAATGAAATTTTTAATATTTTAGATTTTTATTTAAAAAAAAAGACTATTTGAAAAAATTAGCTTTAAAATATTGGAATTTTTTTCTTTTAACAAAAAACAATCGTACGCAGATTCTAAAAAGAGGTATATACAATGAAGTTGTTACTAAAGTAACAAGAAAATTTGTATTAAATGTATTTCCAAATATATTTCCATAGATACTACATATTTCGACGATTAGAAATTGGAATAGATACTCCACACTGTGTTCAATTAATAATTGCAATATCTAAGCAATATTTAACAATAAAAATGTTTTTCATATTTGAATAAATTGAATAAGGAAATTACTGAAAAAAAAAATTAGTCAGCGTCATTGATTGACCAAACTCATTTTATTTTATAACAATTTTAAAACAATTTTATAACAATTAAATTTTTGTACTAATTTTTATTTGTATTTTTTATATATTTTGTTTTTTTCTTATTTTCCTTTTTATTATGTTAAACTATATTTTTTCATATTCTCCAAACTTCTTTATACTCTGCGCTTTTCATGACAACAATTGTCCATAGTTTTTTTTATATTATAAATACACACACACACACACACACACACACACACACACACACATATAATGTTAGCGTGATATATTAATTTTAATATATGTTAAGTTTAATGTATTGTTTTAGTAAATTATTTATTTATAAC